TTTCACCTTGTGCCTCCCACACCCTAAATCTTGTAGGTGTGCATGCTGCAGAATCAAGCACAGAAGTGTCAACATAGAGACAGCCAATATCAGAGACTTAAAGGAAGAGATACAGGCTCTTAGAGATGCATGGGAGTCACTCCTGTCTGAGGTAACACTGATTGCTGCTCAAATGGATGTTGCACCTGAATTTAGCATGGAACACTGTCGCAAGAGGAAAAGGAAGAGATTCCATGATGAGACCTCTCAAGAGAAGACAGATCAGGACANGCGGAAGGTCTTTCAATAGAAGCAAACCAGGAGTCCTTCTCCCCTCGCCGCCTAGTCACTTTGAAGGCACGTCTGTAGCACAAACTGAGTCTCGCGGCCGCCTTCGCCCCGGCGGGATATAATCGTGCTCAGTTGTCGTCTGCGTCTCTAAGCGTTTAGGAGACTGGGGGTGACACCTATTTGTTATCGTCTGAGGGCACGCCTTTGAGTCTCGGCATTGGCATATTAGGTCCGCGCGCGGCTACGGGTCTCTTAGGTCGGTCGAGCAGCGTACGTGCTCAGTTCGGTCGTCTGTCTAAACCGGTTTTAGTGTTTATTGCGCGAAAAAAAACAACTGAGCTTGCGTAAAAAAATAATTTATCGTTTTCCGTCGACACATCCGGCCCTACAATTGATTATATCGGCAGTCTAAATTATACGACGCAGCTTTACGGTTCGTTGAAAAGCCGAAAGGTCGGCCATCCTAAGAAGATGACAGACCACTACGGACTGAGTATACTCGAGTTTACTGAGCACTACTAGGCCTAAAGAAGTACTGGCGAGGTATTCTGGAAGTTCAGGCGTTATTTTCCTTAGGACCTAAACCGGGTAGAGAATTGACTGGTTAGGTCTGTAGTTCTATTGCGCTACCACAATGTAACAAGGCTCGTACCACTCATAGTGAGCGCGTCTTTTGCTAGAATTTTATATAATTCCGAAAAAACTCGACATGCATACATTTTATCTCGTACCATCGTCTGATATCAGCCACGTGTATTGACCATGCGTCACATGCGGTACGCGCCGGTTGTAGACTTTACCGCATGGCAAGTGAGGACACAGGGTGTTTCGGCGTAAAGAGCGGCATGGCTAGCACAGAATAGTTCTGTCCGCTAATATTTACCAGTCTATATTCTACGTGGGTATAATTTATCCTTGCAATGTTGTCTACAACAAATGCGTACTGTAGGAGGCACACGTGGGTCTGTGTTTGGTTTCGCTATCTCTCGTAGTTGTATGTATGCTCAAGGCCGAAACCACTGCAGTTTTATATATGTTGCCTTAACTGCACAAGGATACATATTGGATGGGGTTGAATGACTCAGGTAGTCTTAATTATAAGGACGCTCCTCCCTCTGAGGAGGGAAGAGTGCGCGATTTTGCGACTAGTCGTTCGCAAGTGGCGGGAGAACACAGTCGCATTGTCATTGAGGTGATCTGGCTCCGGGCACAACTATCTTTAGGGTTGGTGCAATACTGTTTATTCTCGGGAGGGTGGGCGACCAAACTACTAACTATCCACACACCCCGACAGAATATTAAAATTCGACACTAATTTGGGAGGGGGGGGGACCTAGGAGACTAATCGTTTAAATATGCAAACTGTCCGGGATCGGAAAAATTGGTAATTTTGGATTACATCAGACACTCGACCACCAGGGAATAGGATGATTGCAACCCTAACCGTCCGTTCTATCCTTGCCGGTCCCAACCTGACCAACTAAACGACTACACACATTGCACGACACGCCTACCAAAGGAGGTACACAGGTACAAGACTCGACCATACGGTCCGACGTCGGTGTCGCGAGGGGGACGTGCTCTGGGACAAACTGTTTGGTGACTATTTTGCACTTTACCGATGTTGTTTTTTTCTCTAGAATCATCCGGGGTACAAAGGTGAAACACCACAGCGCACACCGGTCTGCGTTACAAGATAATAAATAAACAGTCGGCAACAACATAAGGCTAAAGCCTCCTTGTTAGTTGCCCCTATCTTTTGACTTAATTGTAAATGGAGTCGTGACGTATGTCACACCAGCAGTCAGTATAATTGTTTGTTTCTTCCGTGATAATACTAACAATAATACGGTCGCAATATTCGCTTGGTCATAAAACCGACACAGTCTAAGTGCTAAAGCCGCCCCACACCTGGCACAGATACGTGCGATAGCGCATCGTCGATGCAGCCAAGAAGTCCGCATTACGCCGTCACCCCGCACCAATTTAGATTTTGATTCCACCTTATTGCTTCTACGCCGCGGGGCCCTTGGATAGTGTTTAACGTTATGGGGTTATTCCTCGACATGTGTGACGGCGTCAAAAACGCACCGACACAGAATATCAACTTTCGGGTCACCGCTTTAGACAATAAAGTACAGCTAGTTGACTAGTATTCAGTTTATTGCAACAACAATATCGTAGCGACCGGATCTGGATCGATAACGATTGTCTTATATTCTTCGAAAAAGAGTTTTGCCATATAAAAATGAAATGTTGGGACCTTTATAAAAATGTATTCCTTTACATAAAAGTGCTTTCCAGAGGTGTAAGAAGTGATAAGATCTTGTACTTGAGTAAAGGTACAAGACGAGATCATTCCGATCATGGCACATGTGTATAAGTAACAAGTATGCTGTATAATCTGCAACAACTGTCAGGCGGGGTTATTGATTATCTTTTTCAAAAGAGCCCCCACCAATATTGATTTTGAAAAATATCTTTTAATTGAAATATGGGAGCAAAAACAAAAGGGTAGAATTGATCATACCATATTATGTTATTATTGCAACTGTTTTTATTATATTGTGTTGTTTTGTTTATATATATATGTATGTGTGTGTGTACAAATTAATTAATATAAAGTGTATATATGTGAGTGTGTGTGTATAAATTAATGAATACATCTGTGTGTATAAATGAATAAATACACGTGTGAGTACATATAAGTGTGTGTTTATATATATATGTTTATAAATGAATAAATGTGTGTATATATATAAGATAGTATCTTTAAATAATGATCTGTGTGTATAAATGAATAAATACATGTGTGAGTAAATATAAGTGTGTGTTTATATATATATATATATGTTTATAAATGAATAAATGTGTGTATATATATATAAAATAGTATCATTAAATAATGCTGTCACATAAATGAAGTAGGCTACACAGTAATAGTCAAGGTTATATTCAATATTCTGCACTTACACCAGCTGAGATGATAAAACACCAGTAATACAATCTCAGGACTCTGGATTGTTTACTTTCAGTCAACAAATCCTTTGGAAAGACAAAAAACAACTATTCAATATCCTGCTTTACACCGCGACCGCTATAACTGCCGAAGATGAAGTCTATGACGCTAAAGCTACGTCCTTGCGTAATGCGGAAGTGGTTAAAACTAAACTGGGTTGGAATAACGATAGACGCGGACGGGCCGTATCCAGGGGATGCATGCAGAGCTGTCATTGACTGAGATAAGTCCGGCCGTGCGTCACGACTCTTTGAAACATCTCTGTTGCCGTTAATGCATCCACGGAGGACCGTGGGGGACCCATCAGTGTATCCTCGGTTATAGCTCCTCCAGAGAGCCTCCTCGATGCTCGGTCCTCGAAGAGCATTTAGGGAAATGAGATGTCCTTCAACATGGCGGGCTGAAATTCATTTCCTGGTCACTACCGGAGGACGGAGGATTCAAGGAGGCGAGGAGGCTCTCTGGAGGAGCTATAATCGAGGATACACTGATGGAGAGACGAGGAGGGGAAATCCCAGAAATGAGATCCGGCCCCTGAGTTTATATTTGAAGAGCACGATGATGATGATGATGATGATGATGATGATGATGATGATGATGACCAATCAGCAAACCTAAACACAACTAATAAAGAGCAATCGTGCATCACTGAGATAGAAGTTTTATTTATTTATGATAGTGCCACTGCCCACTGCTAAATAAATATAACAATTTGAAACACAGGTATTTTATACCAATTATATTTATCTGATTATTGTAATGGTTCCATGCAATTCAGATGATTTTAAAAGATGCAATGTGTTGTTTTAAGCCTCCTGCTCTAATGAAATAGGGAGCATTATTTCACCTCTACTACTGCAAACATTAGTCGTTAAATGTATTGTATTTACGTATTTATTATATTGATATCTAGCACTATTATCAAAGTGGATAAATGTTGAAGAAATTGAATTTATGTAGAGGAAAAAAAAATAAATACTAAATATTAAAAACTTAACAAAATGTAATAGAATTATTATTACAAAATCATGACTTTTCCACCTTGTAGTTATAAGAAAAAGCTAAAACAACAACAACAAACAAATCCAAAAGAGACACAAGGACACGTGGAAACTGTCATGTAGAGTCTGCAAAATATCATCTTCAGTTTACTAACAATTGTACATCTGATCAGATGATACCCTTTAATTTTAAGGCAGGAGATGATAGGGATGAGAGAAAATAACCCCCTCTCCCCTCCCTCTAAAGCACTTTGAGACAAATCTTTGAATTTTGTCGCCTCCTACAGTACAAACTGTGAACATGCACTTCACAAATAAAAGATTATAAAAAGGGCACATTATTGTTGGTGTTCAAGAGATGAAACAATACTTACAGAAAAATATAGAAAATAATAGTTTGATTTCCAAACAGTACCCATTAATAAGCAATGTAAACTAATACACTGAACAATACTTTTGAGGGAAATCTGCAATAAATGCACATTCTATGGACAACCTTGCACCAAAGATATTGATATTGAAGTGACTGTTATTTTGTATATATTAATATTGATTGTTGTGTTTTTTATCTTGATGTGTGCATATGTGTAAATGTGTCTGTTGTTTGTGTATATAGGATATACATATTTGTATATATATCTGTATATTGTATCATTTTTATATTCGGGAATGTTGGAAACGTCATTTCGATCTCTCTGTCTGTAAACACAAACTGAGTAAGATTGACATTAAAGTTGACTTTGACTTACAATAGTGTCATCAAATGTTTATATTTTCAAGTTCTTCACCAGTGCCTTTCCAAAACAGCTCACTGAGATAGTCTCCTCTTAGGCTCTTTAAAAAAGACATATTTGCACTATTAGCGACACATTCCAGAAGTGTACAGTGTGCTGTGTCTTGAACATAATAATATCATTATTATAACAACAACCTTTTCATGCACATTTGTTTTTTTCAACATGTGAATGCCTCATTCTGAAACTTGTGTGATACCTGATAAGTGAGATAAATGTCATCGTGTGGAGCTTTGGTTAGAATTGTCTGTTTCCTCAGAATCTGCAAACTCCACAGGGGCTCTGTAGCAGCGCCGCCCGCCCCCCCCCTGTCTGAACGGAGCAAAGCGCAGCCACTTCTTCACCACGTCAGCATACTGATGGTGTGTGGCTTCTTTACCCACCGGTGTGCGTTTCAGAGCACCTAAAAGGAGAAGCTAGGAATGAACCTTTGTACAGATCAGTGTTATTTATTAACCATCATTACATCATTCTCCATATATTTACTTTCAGATACTGATAAATACACTACAAAGCATACCAAACCACCTATTTAATAATCCAAATAATAAAACATGTCAGTTGAAACTAAGAGGATTTGGCTATAAGATTGCTATTGATAGTGTATGAATGAGTGCTTAACCCAGACATGAGTTGCATTGTAGCAATTTCGGGCTCACTTTTGTCGTTTCTATGTCACTTCATATATATATAATATGAATATTATGAGCCAGGATACTTTTAAATATATCCTTGTCAATAACAGTTTTGGTACTCATATTTTGGAATGCCATTTTCATTGTTGGATAAAAGCACAAACTGAAGAATGTGTTGTTTAATTGCCTTCATTTATTTTACTATTAGTCTCTTCACCCATAGCCTGTCACTATGTTATGGTAGTAAACAGGTTTCCAGTGGAGGCCTTTCAGGTGGGGGGAGTGTGTGGGAGAGAAACTCCCTCTGAACGGAACTTTGGGATTTTATCGTTTGCAGACCATTAATATCCACAAAAACCTGTACAACACACCACAGGAAAGGAGAAGAAGCATAACAGGGCCTCTTTAAGTATACTTCAGGTAGCAATGGCTACTTACAGAAGAGCACTCCCTGGAGGCGAGTGTTCCTGAAGCTTCTCTTCCGGCCTCGGCCCACCCAGTTGAGCTCAGAGCCGACAGCGAATGTAAGCACAGACTGCATCAGACGTCTCACCGCGTCGTCAACCGTAGCCCCGCCCATCCGTGACAGGTACGAAACCTTGAATTAGGACAAGACGTCAACGTAACAGAAGGCCCTGAGCATTCACACAGCAAAGTACCAGGATGATTGAGCATCACAGTATATGTCATTTGAACTACCATTCTCTTTTGACTTCCTGTCTCTTCCAGCTGCCTCTCCATCTCATCCAGCTGCTCCAGAGTCCTCAGGGGGAGATCCATGTCCAGATCCTCCACGTCCTCCTCCTCCTCCTCGTTGATGCTCTGACCCGGCAGTCTGGCCTGAAGATCCTTCAGCACCGCCCACTGCCTCTGCTGCTCCTCTTTGATTTCCACCAGTAGGGCAATGATCTTCCCTTGAGCAGCAGTCTCTAGAGAAAAAGAGTTGGAGAGAAGTTGACCTCTTTTCCACCTAAATGAGTACTGTTCGAGTTAAATGCTAGTTAACCTGTTTGCTTTCCCACTGATTGCTGGAGTGATACGCCATTGGGGCCAAATGAGAGTCTGAATGTTTTGAAAAGAAAGTCAGAATTCTGAGCAAAACAGTATGAATACAAAAAAAAGAAATCTGACTTTAATCTCAGAATTCTTATTTAATGCTCAGAACATATTATATAACATTTGTGTTATATTGTCACTGGATATTTGTTAACATATATATTTTATTACATTTCTAGGCATTAACACTTTTACTACGCTGGAAATGATAGTCTCGAAGATATTATTGATCACATCTCTTCAGTCTTCAATTAATTATCTCAATATATCTATCTCATAATTTCTTTCAAAGCACGACCTTCAGTATACATTTATGAAATGTATGCTTTTGTTTTTTTCAAAAAGTTGAGCATCAATTCAATGTGATTTACTATGTGCTTTTTTAAGGGCGTACGTATGTGAATGAAATAAATAAGTTCCAAATATTGATATCAACATTTGTGCATATCCCCAGAATACTACTAACAAAACAAACCAAAATGAACCCATGAATAACAATATCAAATAAATAGAATGTCTTGTGAATATAATACAGTTAAACATGTTAAATATCAAATGTATTACACCCTGAAATACAGCAAATGTATAAAAGAATAGCAGAAATAGTATTTTGTGGATAAAATAAATCGTTGCCATAAATACTTCAAATCACACACGTTCACGTGCACTTGCAGTATCACGGATAGACAACACAAAACTATTCCAGGGTTTCGCAATTCGCATTGAATGACCGTCTACCTGTGGATGGGGGGGCAGAGAGTAACTTGTCAGCTCCGGAGCTACAGGCGGTGGAAAGCTGCGGCTCTTCCCCGAAACTAACGTCCCTTCGCCGGGGTTCGTCTGTGAACTCTTCCCCTGAGCGTCTGGAGCCTTGTTCGGTCAGACTGTGCATCTCCCCGGCACACAGCCTCTGCTGAAGGCTCTCCCGAGCAATGTCTGCCATATGTTTGTTCACCAAACCCTCCTCTCGTCGTTGCACCGGCCAGTTGTGGTTGTCCCCATTATCTTGCTCCATTTAACTTTTTCTCCTACGTTCCCAAAACCTTTTCCAAACCGTTTAATAACGTTTCTTGACGCTCTTCACTCAAGAGAAGCGGAAGTTGAGGAATTTCCAATACCACGTTGCACAAACGTCACCCAAATGTTGAAAGAACATTGGGAGCGGCTACCGAACTACGTTTCCCATAAGGCAACAGTAACGCAGATTGGACAAAAACGTACAAAACCTTTCAGAGTTAGACGTTACATCTCTGGGGAATGTGGTGTCTTCTCCGAGGAATGCAGTTTCTTTTATTTTATGAACCCTTTTTTTTTTTTACTATTTATTTTATATTTAATTCCGTTTGTCAAGGAAAACCATTGTGACCTCCTCCCACCCCTTCCCAATTGTGCACTTGGTTGGGTCCAATTCTTAAATGTTGCCTGGCTCTGAATGCACTTTTCAACGGGATTTAATACATTTTACTATCCAACTTAGAACTAGAGGTATATCGTGTGAATGTCTAAACTCTAAAGTGACAAACATTATACAAATTAGATTTATGGATGGAAATCGAATTGAAGTTCACCTCAATGCCCACTAGATATGGAGCTATTTCAGGGTCATAAGTTTTGATCATTCAAAAAAATACAATTTGTTTGAAAGTCCAAGTTTTCATCCTGAACTTTGAAAAACACAATGTTGTATTCAAAAAAAAAAAAAGTATTTGAAAATATTTTTCAGGTTGAATATTATTTTGATTCAGTTCAGCAATTTTTTTAAATAGAATATTTATTTTCATATTTCACTTTTATATATATTTTGATATTTGAATAGTTGTTTTTTTCAGTTTCAGATTTTACTTTTTCAGATTCAAAACACTTAGGGTTCCAAACTAAGCCCCGCCCCCCCAAGCAATATCAGGGCCAAAACTTTGAAAGCGAAAAAAAAAGATCTGAAAGCGAAAAAAAAGATCTGAAGGTGAAAAACGATCTGAAGGTGAAAAGCAATGTGAAACCTGAAAAAACAAAATTTGAAACTGAAAAAATAATTGTTTTGAATCTGAAAACGAAATATCTGTGCTGAAAAAAATAAGGATTCAAATATCAAAATATGTATAAAAGTGAAATCTGAAAATAAATATATTATTCCAAAAAATTGCTGAACTGAATCAAAAATAATATTCAACCTGAAAAATTATTTAAAANACTTTTTTTAATTTTGAATACATCATTGTATTTTTCAAAGTTCAGGATAAAAACTTGAACTTTCAAATAAATTGTATTTTTTTGAATGATCAAAACTTATGACCCTGAAATAGCTCCATAACTAGATGGCAGTATTAGAGCACACAATGCAATCAGTAACATTTTGATGAGTTTTGGGAGAAATCATTTTGTATTTTCAGTGTAGGATTATTGATATGTTTGTATTACATAAATAAATTAGGCTGGCAACCAAATAAAACCCAATAAAAACAACTAGCAGAATGGTGTAGTTTCTTAATTTTTGACTATTTATAGGTATGTAGTTGAGTAAACGTTTTCATTTTATTCTATAAAGCACTGAAAACATTCTCCCAAATCAAACATTTTGTCATTTAGATTAAAAATAAATAAATAATAAATGCTGAAAATGACCAGTAGCTAAAATAACAAACAAGTATTTATTGGAGAAAATAACGAAAAGTTATAATTATATTGAGGTAATATAAGCTATAAATATAAAATTCTAAGAGCAAGAGTATACAGTATTCTTCTTTTAATAATGCAATGAAAGTAGTTCAATTGGTTAACAGTTTAGTGATGATGGATTAGTTTGTAATGACCTTCATGGTGCATCAATGATGTATCCTAATAACTTTCAGGCTTGGAGAGTAACGGATTACATGTAAAGGGAATATGTAATACGGATACAGAAAAGATAGCTGTATTCCCTTACAGTTACATAAACAAAAAATACGTAATCAGAATACTTTGAAATAAAAACAACTGGGGATAACTATCAGGATTACAGTGCGTTACTAAAAAAACAAAAAAGAGCATCTAGTGTTTTGTTGTAAAGGATCAGATGTCGTCTCTTTTCTGTCAGCTGTACTGTTCTGTAGGCTAATACTTTAAGAGTGAATCTATACGCCTACTGCCTGAATCTGCTTTATGGTTTTCACTTTCTTTGGTTCATTTGTTCTGTCTTTAATTCAGCAGGTGAACCTGTATGTTCATAAAATAGTGTGTGTGAGCATGTGTGTATTAAACTAAAACGGAGCATTTTCTGTCGGCTCAGATTTTATTTCTGCTTTTTTAAACTGTAGTATGTGCTCATGTGTTTCAGTGTTGGTGTATAGGCTGCTGCCTGAATATGCTGAATGAAAGGCAGCTTTACTATAAATAAAATCTCTGAGCAGAGGACATATTTCTGATCCTCAATATCTTGGTTTCTTCTTTTCTAAGGGCGCACTGTTCTGTTGTGTTATAAATCACTTTGGTAAAAAACATCAGATTTTTCTTTTCCTTTTTTCATTGCATTTGATATTGAGGTATCCAAATCCGAAAGTAACGGAAAGTAATAAGGTTACATTACTTTTTTACGGGTAATTGTTACAGATTTTTTTATTTAAAGTAACCCTCCCAACTCTTATGACTGTACATGAAAAGCTCCACATCCGTATATCTATGGGATATCTGCAAAGAGAAAAACTATGACAAGGCAAAGCGAAAGTATACACTTAAACAGGGACTGTGTGCAAGTATACATTACCGTTAAGTGACAATACAAGAGGTACTTGTCAGTCCTTTAAAGGAATTTCTGCATGCAGGTGTGAGTTTGTATATCCAATAAAAACGTACCACAGGACAAGGCTTGTGTTTCCTTAAGCAAAGACAACTTTATTAATGCTAAGGTAGCACAATAATCTCTCAAAATTACATTTAAAACATCTAAACACAAAGTAAACCTATGTTGAAAAGTTTTCTTGTGTATGAAGAGGTAAAGCTTAGACCCAGAGAAACGTATCGTCTGCAAACACTCACACTCTATCTCTTATATCCCGTACTAGCAACAGCATGCAGTCATCTAGGATATCCAGTTCAAACTAAATCCAGTGCGATCTAAAAAACGTGTTGAACCCTCATCCCAATATACATTAAGATTTACTTTAAATTATTTATCATATTGAAATATCTCCATGCGAGTAAACAAAGGACAATATCTTCAGAGGTCTCAAACACATCAAAGGGGGGTACAAAGGGCACCTAGGATCTATGAAAATATATTCAACAGATATACAGGTTGAGACAAAAAATATATAAATACATTTACACCTATCTATATACAATATGTACATCAGCAATATCACCAATGTGAATATCACAACATTATTAAGAAATCTCCTACACAAGACACCTCTTTTCAAAATGTAGTAGTTTGGTTGGTTTTTCAAAGAACCTATGTTCAGGTACAAACAGTGAATAGCAGCACAGAATGTATTCCACCAAATCATCTGTACCATCAATTGTTAAATTGGTAAAGTGCGTGATACAGATATTTCTGAAAAAATGCCCTGTGGTGGACTGAAAATACTTCAAAACAAAAACGAATGATGATGCCTTGTACCAAGTGTTGTTTCAGCCAGAGTAGTGTATCATATAGAGTGAACATCTGTTAATATAGCTAGGAATAGCAAGGAATGCTACATGCTTAAATCTGCTGCTTGATTTAAATGAAAACACAGACTGTCTTGAAACTAAACTTTGAACAGTCATCAGCATTATTGGTTTCGAAAGAGATATACTTTATTTTATTGGTCCCATGTCTTCAGAACATAATATGATGCCTATGGAGTGGTGCACTGATGATGTCTTTTTGTAGGCCGACCCGGATGTTTGCATCGCAAAAGGCTCCCTTGACAAAAAGCAATTGGACTTAAACATTGTATTTTGGAATATTTAAAAAAACAAGATCTTTGGCTAACACATGTTCATGATACTTTGTTCAGCAGGATAATTTCCACATATTATCACTTTGTGCTTTCTGAAGCATGAATTCAATCTGCAGTAATGAACGTAATGCTATAAACAAACTACATCATAGTCAAATGGTTGCGCGTCACCACCGCTAAGCTAAATGTGGCTAATATTTGGTGTGATGACGTTTAGTAGTTTATTAATCCACTTGTTAGAAATCGCCATTTTGATAACACGTAAAAGCTTCGGACATTCACAAGTGGGGTATTACTGACGTATTATGTCCTAGAACTAAACATGAAAATCTCTTCAGCTCGTGTTAACAACAGATCTTATTTCAGGCTTCTCACCAAAACTGGTTAAAAAAACATTGACTTTGAGGCGAGGGACCCACAAATGGTAAAATGCTAACTCATTTCAGGGTTTTAGGGCCCATTCCTGCACCACTCTATTATAAAGTATAACTCACTTGGATTGAATGAATGTGTGTCATATTTTTCCTTCATATCAGAAGATCTTTAAGGGTATTAATGCGAGGCATATTTGAAACCAGAAGTCATGATAATTCAACACATATCTAGTTATTATCTGAAATAACGTAATACATAATTATGAGTCAACATTTTAAGAAAGTAATATCATTATTTAACTTCAAAATGTGACTTGAGATGAGATGTATTACATAGAAAGGCTTAATGAAATACTAACTTAAACCCAAAGAATGCAAGTCAAAAATGTTTATATATTAAAATATATATTCATCATGCATCAAAAGGTTGACTTGCATTATCACAATGTGACTACCTCATCATTTTTGAATGACCTAATCAGACTTTTGACTCAGCATCTCATTTGATTTTTGCAACATTTCATGTTCATCCTTTTTCTGGCAGAAATGGGCTGTTTCAGATATAGATATCTCTATAAACTCAACACAACTTTTTCAAATAAATGAAACTTTGTATACCATCTCAGAATATTCTCTTTCACTATAAATAGCACCAGATTAAATTGATATTTCAGAGTAACTTTCAAATAAATAATTAGAACAAATGGGAAATTAGTTATATATTTCAAGGCTCAAATTAAAAACTTCAAAATCTAGCTTCAAGCTACTTTATAACCAGAATCAACAGTATTTGAGAATAACTTAAATAATTCTGTGTCCCATTATTATTTGATAATACAGTGTGGAAGAACTGACCATGATAAGAGTTGTAGGGCTCCATATGTTAATAACAGTCCTGCTGTGATTGTGTGTATAGTCATTGATAAATAACTTTGTTAGGAATGCTGTTACAGAGTCACATATTGACAGACATCATGTTAAACTAATGTGTCTTTGATCATTAAAGCGGCATATTTACACATAAGCTCATAGTTATTGCATTACATAAGATTCGCGACACACGTAAACCCTGTTTTCCGTTCATAGCACTCTGCCTCTGTATAAATAAATGTGATATATGATATATTGACAACAAACATAAATTATTTGTACATTCGAAAGACAATATTTCTCAGATCTTATATTTGATAGTACTCGTCAATAAATTAAACATTTCCCTGACACAAATCTTTTTTAGCAATTGTCTTCCATTAAAAAGAAAAAAGAAATAGAGGAAAGCTGACATTTTGATGAATCTGACCGATGAAGAGTTCATTTCTGTGCTGGAAGTCTTTGAGGAATAGTGTGACTCCAGTAGTTGAATACAAATCCTCCGTAGGGTTTCACGAACCACATTGTACATGCTCCAAAAAACTAGTAGGAATATTTATCTCAATTTTACCACAAACCTACCAAATCTGGACAAATCTAGACATTAGGCATTACAAAATACAAAGAACTCCTGGATAAAAATAAAGTTGAACGCTCAACCTTTGAGTATTAGAGCTGGAATAAAAGTCCTGATGCTTGGTATTGCATCTTTACCTCAAGAGTGTAGCAGGAAATTCACCGCAGAGGAAGTACCTCGTGCGACCTGTTTGAAATAATGCCACCACTGTTTTCAGTCTATTTGGTCGGCGTCTTCCAGAAGAGAAAAAAAGCAGCAGTTCATCGTTTCTGTCCCTAGGTGGCAGCGCAAACTACGACACCTCTCCGCAACAATCTCCCAAAACATTTACTTCTCTAAAAAAACATAATTCTTTCATAAAAACCTGCTTCATTTTACAAGGATGCCATCCTTATAATCAGCACACATCAGGAGAAACACTTAGTCTCCTAGTTTAAGCTCTTCAGTGCAAGTTTGATTTCTTTTTTTTAACATCCACACATACAACATAAAAGTCATTGATAAAATCAACAAGACAAAATACGTTTTCGAGGAAGTTGTGCTTGCTCGAACACGAGTGGTTCCAGCCAACTGGGTCCATAAATAAAACCTGCCCGGGTGCTTTGTGACCTCCAGAGGGGAAATGTGCGAATGACATGAATAAATAATAAATATGACATCTAGGGGTATTTACAGAGGTGGTCTATTTACAGAAGATAAAGACGAATCTCCTCTTAAAGCTATTTCATTCCCAGTAAAAAATATAGGAGCTACAACTATGATGCTATTGATGGTAAAAGCTTGAGGAGGAAATTAAATGTGGGCATTATTGGACAAAAATGTGACTTTATGTTGTTTTGTTCTCCAGCAAAAGGCAAAGATACAGAGAACAATATGCTATTGTACGCTGCTAACTGCTAGCGGACAACAGCTAGCAGCTAACGGCTTGTGTCCACATAGTGCTTTTTTTGAGCGGCAGCATCTTTTTTCAATTGTTTCCAATGAGGAGAGAGCTTATGCTTTTGCATGCGGCCACCTTGAGAAACAGCGTTGCACCTAGCGTCTTTTTTCTCAAGCGCTCTGATCTTTTTGTCGGACAAGCGTAGGTGATGTCACGGTACATTAGGGGAGAAGCTTGTTTTTGACCGTGTCTCTCAGACGGAAACTATTACAACAAAGACTAAAAGCCTGTTTGTTTGAACCGATCAGTCTGGCGGACCCTTTTACTTTTTTCGCTGAGCGCAGATTTTCCTCTACGTCTGTCAGACTGAGCGGTGAAGCTCATTCATACAAAGTGTGAGAGCTAGCATCTTTTAGTGTGGTGAAAAAACAATCAAATCAAACTAATATATAGTAGCTGAAAACAGACAATAAAATCCAAAAGGTAGATGCTATTCTGCCATAAAAAAGCGGTGATACATTACCAATAAATCATTGTCATAACATCAATGAAAAAGGCTAGGAGCGTTAGTTTGATGGAACTCTGTGAGGAGTTTCCTTTCCGCCAAAAACACGACACCATGTGGACACAATCGTAACTGTGCTGCAACATGATCTCAAAGAAGGTAAAGGTACTGTAGAGATCTGTAGAGAGATGGAGAGTCAATGTTGGTATTCATTAATTCTTCTACCAACCGATGGAAGTTGATAAGGGCCACATGTGAATTTTCTTTTTGGATCCGGCAACATTTTTTAATTTTTTTTAGTTCTGAGATCAAAGTGCAGACTTCTGAAAAGGAAAGTCTGAATTCTGACTTTTTTATCAGAACTCAAAAGCAATTTTACTTTTGGTCAGATCTCAAAAATAATTCCGCATGTGGCCCCAATCATCTTCCGTATGCATCTCTGAAGAACTTATTGTCTTCCTGCTTTTCGTTTTTTGCAGGTAGCTGTTCCCTATGCTGGGAATCACCTGTGATTGGCCAAGTTTCCTGAAAATGTCTCTGACATTTCCAATGATTGGCCAAACAGACTAACATTTGTAAAGCATGAAAACAGAACCATGAGGAGATAAAGGGTTAGTTTTTTACCTAACCGCTTAAATTAAAATACGCTGAGGGGTTCTTTTTGAATATTTTTTGATAATGCCCTGATTCTGTCTGGGGGTTGGGTTTCTTAAAAATGTTTCGCTAAAAATACTAAATAATGTCCACATGTTGGAAATCTAAAATAGTCTTAAGATAATGGTGTTTGAAAATCGGGCCCATCTGCTTACCATTGTGTGCTCTTTGCCTGAAGATTTGCACTCTTAACTGTGTTTTAAAAACGTTATCTGAACCACAGCGCTAATCTACACCCTCCCACCTATTTACATCATTGCTTTTATAATTATTACTCTCAACTAGTAGATCTAAAAGACCCACCTTTCCTCTCAGGAAAGGTTAGCAGCTAGTAAACATGACTACTTTCACACCTAAATACAGGGAGTTTCTAAATAAAGGTCCTCAAGTCAGGAGCAAGCAGTAGTGGTGACTCCTGTCCTCAGTTCTGTCCTGTGTGAGGGCACGTCAGTCATTTCTATCTCTGCCCCGAAAACTAGGCGACACAGCAGATAGCCATAAAAAAAAAAGAAGCAGAGTGGGACATCTTCTCATAAAAACAGGTAAGTGAGTGTGTTTTAAATGGTATTTGAAAATCATTCTCGCTGTTAAATATATTAAGAATTATACTTTCTGGGTCTAATTCTATCGTCAGAATGTGTTGGAATTATTTGCAAACACCATTTATATAGTGTATATGTGTGCACTTGTCTGTGTGTGTGTTAATCGTCGCGGCAGGTTGGCAGGTTGACGAAGGTGAAGATATTGTACTCGATAAGGCAGGAGACACACAGGAAGACGGAGTAGAGGAGGAGACACGTGAAACCCAGGCGCTTGTCCAGAGTCCACTTGTTGAGGTGAACTCCCAGGACCTGGACAGAGAGATAGACATAGATGGGGGGGGGGATTAAAAGGCAGATTAACAGATCAATGGGCTGATGAAACAAACACATGGACGGAAATCAGAACTCTATTATATCCCTTTCCCACCGAGGCAGTTCCAGGGACAGTTTGAAGCTGGTGCCCCATTTCAAACCAGTTTTTTGTGTTTACACTGCAGCAACGCCGGCTCTCTGGCCTGCTAACTGGATTAATGTGGGGCCAACTAATTGCTCGGCCAGCACCAAAAACCAAGAGCCTTATCAGTCAAAGGCTGGGGATCAACATAAACGTGACGTCATGACGTGGCTCTTCTCAGGCTCTTCTCAGTGGAAAAGGGGTATCAGAGGTATGTGATGAGACATGCTGTCACTCACAGTCATGAACACAGAGGCCAGCAGGAGCCCCACGGAGAAGATCAGGCCTTTGCTGTTGATTTTGATCTGCAAAAAGATAATGTGAGAGACATTAATACTATTACTATTAGAACGAACACAGAAGAAAAGTGACAGAAAGTTTGATCCTCTCATACATTATATAATGGTAAAAAGAAAATATATTACTACTATTAATTGGAGTTCTGACTCGTCTGCCTTTTTTTGCAGGATTATGACTGTAAAAATATAATTTTTGATCAAAACTCAATACATTTTTCACTTTTGGCCCTAAAATCGTGGTAGCCTGGATTTTTTGTTGTTGTTGTATTATTACATTTTTCTGCAAAGTGAATTAATTCCAGTGGAGTCTGGGTACAATCCTGAGTTAACCGTACCATTTTTCAAATGTTTCACAAGTTATGGACATTAATGTACTGTTCAATTTAAAAAAAAGTATGTATACCTATTGAATGCAAGGTCTGTGCAGTTGTGAGAAGCAAAAAGAGTGCACTTCAGTAACAACTCAGGATACTGATAACATCGTCTGAAATCCTAATGATTTATGCTTTTGTTAACTATTAATTATTTTTGGAAACATGTATGAATAACAACAGCTCATTTCTATACCAATTAATTTTCTTTGTTTTCATTTTTTGTGGTGGTGCATAACCCAGCTGCTTTTATAAACAAACCAGTTACTCAGCAATTATTTTTCTCTTGCTTTTTGTTTTCTAATTTTCAATTTGGTATTTGTTATCAGTAATTTGTTGCAGATAGCTGCATAGCATTTTGTTCTTGTTATCATGTTTTCTCTTTACTGAGAAACTGCTCCAACATTTGTGCACGTCCCTGTTGACAGGGTTACACAAAAAAGTAGACTTTTGTCACCCCAATGTATTGTTCTTATTTCCATCTAGTAAATATATGTTTTGAGTAGTGCTGTCATGCTGTGGGTAACTGAAAGGTGTTATGTTACATCATGAAAAGTAAATTAGCCTTGGATGTACAGACACTCCACTTAATGACTTTAATTTAGGCAAAAGACTATTTTGATGGTTATCTTAAGTTAGAAGAAGCACCTACTTTAGTGTTGATGAATTCTGAACATTGCCATCACCTGTATTGCTGTGAATAGTTCAGGTTTGACCTTGATAAGAGGGGGTTTGAGGTACATTGGGGAGGGTGTTACTTACATCAGAGCCGTAGTTGATAGCGAGGGTCTTCACGGACCAGGGGAGCCCGAGCCCCACCAGGATGTCAAACACGTTACTGCCGATGGAGTTGGACACAGCCATGTCTCCCATTCCTGAACAGATACATTTGTAAGGAAAATAAGATAGAAAGAAACAGAGAGGGAGTTACAGAGATGTGTTTCGCCTCTGATATATGGGGAGAAATAATCACGTGAGTATAAATTGTTGTTTCCTCAAGAACTTTACATTAATGAGAAGAATACCCCACGTTCCCCGGATATGTGGATGGTGTGGATCTGAGGATGCTAGATTAAGAATATCTTGTAGATCACAGATCAACAATTTTACATTTAACCTGTTTCACATACTTTCGAAAAAGAATGATCTCCACTTTTTTTATTGAGGTTAGATCATATTTACTTTATTGATCCCAATTTTGGAAATTGTTGAGTTCTGATGTAAAGTGATTTATTTTCGGGGTTAGGGTTATTTAGAGATGCATTTCTGAGAAATAAATCACAATTCTGAGATAACAATTAAAGTTCCCAGAAAAACATACTTAAAGAATCAAGAACAAGTCATTTTCTTATCATTTAAGGCATTTTAAAAAATGGCGCACATTTCAACTTCATTACCGACTTTTATGGTTTTAGCCAATTCTTGTTTGTTTAATGTAATATTTGATTATTACACCGTTAAAGGATGTTAATGAACTAGAAGCAAGCTAAGCATAAAAGGAAAATTGAGTTGGTAACAGGGAAACAGGAAGCTACACTGGGATGTGTCAGGTTGGGACATAGGTGGGTTGAGACGTGTGACATCAGTGGATCTGCGAGCAAGACCCATCCCCAANGCCTCGCCACAGGGATGGAAGGGGGACAGTGGAAAAGCCCCCCCCACTCATACTCCCCCCCACCCATCTCTGTCATCTCTTCCCTCTCTGGCTCTTTGATACTGCATTCACTTTGATTATGTTGTTTGGCTTCAATGAGCTGTTTGTGTGTGTGTTTTTGCTAAATTACAGTTTTGTAACCTGTTATTTGTGTGTGTTTGTGTGTGTGTGTTTACCTTGTCGTGCCACTATAAGGCTGGCCATGCAATCAGGGACGCTGGTGCCGGCTGCCAGGAAGGTGATGCCCATGATGACGTCCGGGATACCGAGTGTGAAGCCGATCACTGTCACCTGACAGAGGAAGACAGAATATTACTGCCTGTATTTTAGCAGGTATTTTTTTTTCTATTACGAAATCGAAATTAAAGCAGGTTTTTGCAGTGGCCAAACAGTGGTACTACAGGTACTATTTCTAACCCTAACCCCCATTTACTTAGAATGAGAAAGAGAATTCTGTAAATTGTCTATGTACATCAGCTTTCCAGGATGAACACGTGGCTATTTATTTAAATCATTAGGTTTTTTTATCTACATTTCTACCAATGTGCCTCCCCCTTAATTTCCCCCCCAGTCTCTCACCATCCAGACCATGATGTAGGAGAACCCAGCGATCCACAGGGTGGAGCAGAAGAAGGACAGCATGAAGTAGTTGTCCCAGCGAGGCGTGGAGCAGTTGGGGACGGTGAAGTACAGCAGCAGGCAGAGAGGCCAGGCCACCAGCCACTTCAGCTTGTTGAACCCCCCCGCTGCAAACACACAAGAAACATGAGATATATACACTGATGAAGAGGGAGGAAGGATCAACAGACTGATAAAAAGATGATCATGCTCTCTCATACTACTACCATATTAGAACAATGTTATCTCATGTACGTATATTGTAATATAGATAGTTACATGTTGTAGTAGAATGTCAACATTTTTATTTTTACATTTTTTATTTCTGTTTTTATTCAACAATGTTTATCTTTTATTAAACATTTAACTTTTTTTTTTTTACATACAATGTTTTACTGCAGGTTCAGTTATTTGTATTTTATCATTTATTGGACATTTTATGTTAACTTTTTATGTTTAAATAACTATCTTTATATTTTTCATTTAACTTTTTATCGCTGCAGTTGGATAGCTAGCTAGTTACTAACATTAGTGATACCAAATCATCACACCACTAAATTAACCGTGTTTTCTTTTCAACACCAGAATAGTGATGTAAGTACGTTACTTATATAGTGAATAAAAAACATATGCATGACTTATATGTATAGTTCAACTGGTTGTGAAGCTTCCGTCACATAACCAAGATGGCCGTCGTTGAGTGTGAGAATGTGTCCAGTGTTTTGCACTCAACTTTTTTTAAATGTGTGCAAATCAGGGTTTTCCAAAAAAGTATTTCTTTAAACACAAGTGACAATAGATCATTTCCAATAACAGTGTAATCACAGTGCCCACAGATCCATCTCCAGCAGGTACCTGGGCACTGGAAGGGTACAAAGGGCCCCCCTCCATCCTCTTCTTCTTCGTCTTCATCATTCTCATTGTTCTCGTTGTCCTCGTTGTCCGTCTCGTTGCCCGCCTCTCGGTCCTCGCGGCGAACGCCGATCCCCCTCTCAGGTCCGGACATCCCGTTCTCTATGCCCCGCCTACTTCCTCCTTTCACTTGAACATCTGAGTCACCGTTGGTCAAAGTCCGTGAGTGGATTAGACGCTGCCTCTGTTACACACACACACACACACACACACACACACACACACACACACACACACACACACACACACACACACACACACACACACACAATTATTTTCAATGTATGTCCTCTTTAACAATTAACAAAGAAAATTGTAAAAATGAGTTTAAAAGCACAAAAAACTGAACTCTTTATTGTGTTTATATTGAAAATGAAACTTCAAAAGACTTTATTTGTTTACATCTCAGTTATAAACTTTTAAAAAGTGTTGTATCAAGCGATAGCAGGTCAAAGTTTCATCTAATTATTTCAACAGTTATATTGACAACCCCTAAGGTTTGTAATTTCTTAATGTTTAAAATATATAGTTTTGGTCTATTCATAAATGACCAATTTACAGAATAGTATGTACTGCAGTCCATTAGGGCTGTGCATCTTCACTGGTCTCATGATTCGATTACGATTATCCTCTCACCGATTCGATATCCCGATGCATCACGATTCATACCAATGCGTTGCATCCTCAATTTCCTATATTACTGCACATGGCTTCTTTTTCATCAATGAATACGTGCAGTAAATACATATGAACTCATGAACATATGAACTTTTTCTTATTTAGAAAGTGCTTCAGAAATTTCAAGAAATGTATTGACATTCATTTATAAACCAAAATAAATCAACTGTATAGCTCTAGCATCCCTATACAGTATCTGTGTGTGAAATTGTTCCAGCCTCAAAAACAAACAACTAATGCTTCTGCAGTCTAGCTGTAGCTTCTAGCAACGCTCTTCTGTTAAAACAAGGACACTGAATGTCCTGACTGTGGCATCACACACATGACTTGAGTCTGAACACAGCAGACAACGGGAGTATTTACAACAGCACACTTACATTCTCTGTCTTACTGTTACATACATCCCATGAATGTATGAGATGAAGTTAGCTTCATCATATCTCAATCAGTGATTAAGTGAATAATAAAGTTTCTATCAGGTTACTGTCACTCATTATTTTCAGGGGAGGCGGGGTTTGGAGGAACGGAGAGGAGACGGTGATCGTGGAAGCTTTTTTCCTCCTGCCTTCACAAACTTTACACACGTAGCCAATATATCGTCTGAAAATAGCAAGAGGATACTCATACTCTGCAAACCAAGACTAAATCCACCAAAAAACCTGACATGATTGTAACGCGAGTATTTAAAAAAAAACATAAATCCCTGTGTGTCTGAGCCGCAGCGACACAGACTGATTCAGAGCGGGTCATTCTGCTGTTGGTTCTGGACTGGTGTTGTTGTGTTGGTGGATAAAGCAGACTGCTCCGTGTGTGGTGTCGCTGTGCCGCTGTCACGAATGTTCCGTGATCTCTGTGTCACCGACCGATTTGATATTCAAGTGACAGAAAAAAAAATGTTATTGTAAAGCCGCGGCCGGAAAATCAGTAAGCAACGTTACTACGCTATAATCGATTATGTTCTGCAGAATCGTCCACGTCCGCATCGCGATGCATCGTAGGAACGATTCATTTCAACACCCCTACACAGTCAAGGTGATCATGTTAATTTCAGACAGGTACTGCTCAGTCTAAATGACAGCTGGTGAATAAAGTCATTAGCATCTCCCTTTAAGCTTTTATTAACATAATATTATGGTTTAAAGTGCTATAAAGCGCCTCATCCTGTCTGTGAAGCTAGCACTGATGTTCGCTTTAGTAGCTGCACAGCAGAGCTGTCGAATTGCAGAGAGAAGAGTGTTAGGTGAAGGGCCCCTTAAAGAAAACAGCACACTCTACAGCAGTGGTCGCCAATCAGTCGATCGCGATCGACCGGTCGATCGCGAGTGTGGTGCGGGTAGATCGCGGACAAAAAAAAAGTAACAAAAGAAAGAAAAATAAAATTAAAATAATAATGTTTGAAAAATACGTTTTTAGATGTAAACCTATCATCCACCACCCTGTTAGCAGGTACCACTTGATTGACGTATATTTGAGACACCTCAATAATACATTAACCGTGCTTTACGTGAACCTCATCATGACACTAGAGACGACGGCAGGACTGTATTTTCCCGTGTTCAGTGAACGCAACAGAGGCAACACACCAGACCAATCAGAGAGTTGCATGGAAATACACGTGTGCTTGTGTCATTCAAGCTCGGCTCTGTGTGTGTGTGGCGATAGCGCATTTATTGTGATAGAGAGGGAGAGAGAGGGACCGGTGCTAGCGGGGACCGTGATGTTAGCATCTGGTTAGCTAGCTGCACTAACGGACATAAGGAGCTGTTTCCACAACAAGCTGGAGGAGAGTCCTCTCCTGTCAGACTGAGGGGCTCAGGTGAGCTAAAGGACTCTTGAGTGTTTAGAACAGTTTTGTCACATATTATTCAAAAGATTATTTCCGCGGCACACCTTAAAATGATCATTATAGTTATACAAACAATAAGAGAATAAATGAAAAACAGGTATGAAATAGCCTACTATATGGCAGTAAAACAAGAATACAGTTTAATGTGATTTGTAAAATATCCATAAAGAAAAAGAAAATCTGTTTACAGTTCTGTTTCATATGGGTGCTGAGAGAGGTATCCATAGATCTCTTCATGTTGCTCTCAAAGTGCACCAGATTGATGCTTTCAACTTCAATATTTAAAAAAAAATCTTCCCGGGGGAGCATCCCCCCGGACCCCCCTTGAGGAGGTGAGGTCCGCCCCCCAATAGCACTTTACCACTGCCTATATGCCGTGAGCTGATTATGGAGCCTTCATTGTAACTTTTTATGCATAATTCATTAAATCTTTGAAAATGTTGGATAGGATATAAGTACGCAAAGTAACAAGTGCTTATTTTTATTCGTAGTTTTGTTTAGTGGCAACATAATTAGTTGATGTTCTTATGTGGGGTGGGAATTTTGTATCTATTATTATTAACTTATAAGACCTTGATTACTCTCGTGATGTGGTTTGGTTCGGTGTAGAAATTGAAAACTATGTTTACTCTGTCTCTACGTGGTTATGCGAGAAGAAAGACGTGTCACAAAGACTGGAAAGAATACACTGTGTGTATAAGATCTTATACTTTATTTGTTGTTCTTGTATTTTTGGTTTTTGGTGGTTTGTTCGCATTTATATTGTTACAACGTAGGACATCTCGTCCCCAAGTTTGAGGTTTATGTGTCACCCGGTTTTATATTTTTAGTTACATGATCAAGGCTCCCCGGCTGGACCAAGTTAACTATAACGTTTTGACACTACTTTACTTGAATAACGTGTATAATTTGGATCCTTGATTGTTTCGGAATTTACTAAAGGATATTTTTGTTGTAATTTGTAATTTATTAGTCAACGTAAGTAAAGAATACCGAGATGAGACGTTCGAAAAAGGTCTCAGTAAAGAATACTAATTTAAAAAGGTGTCCGGGTGTGTTGTCGAAGTTTTTTTTGTTTGATAAAGGGGAGTTTCTTGTTTGCGTTTGTACGGCGACAAACAGGCAGGCTCTCTTTTTCACCTTCCTTGTAGTTAAATTTCCACTCCATCCAAGTAAAACCTCTTTGCGTCTCGAGCTCATGTCCGATCTTAAACTTTTATGTGTGCCGGCCTTTTTTAGACGATGAAAGGATTGGTCTGCGCGAGAGGTTGTGTGTGTACTTGCGTGTGTATGGTTAGCTCCCGGTGCTCTATTCAAACACCGTGTCTACTTTCCCGACTGTCCGTCCAATCCCCTGGTAGGGTCAATGAAATCGGCCCGGTCGATTTTACTAACAGTGCACGAGTATGTCATGAGTGCGCGAAGGTGTTCTACTGTTAAAAAATTACCTTAAAAAACAGTTTTCGTCGAAGTCTATAAGTAACGATAGCCTTGCTCTACAAAATTCTAGTAGGGTACCTTATATTGTTTTTCACTATAAGCTCCGCCAAAGACTTTGAAATGTATTGGGGTGGAAAATTGAAAGTCACATGACGAGACACTACGATGCGAGTTTCGGTTATCGATACCCCGTAGAGTAGGAACCCATGGGTTCAAGTAGCTACAAACCTGAGTCCGAGCTCGACTCCTTTGAGGAGTCCCAACTCACTTCCACACGCACTTTGATATGGGCCGCCCTGGTCTAGATTTCACTAATCTTTAATAGGACGCCCCGGCGTTATTTAGGTGGTGGCCCCGGAACTCAAACTGTACATTACAACACCGTTCCCCAGCCGTTCATTCATACCCGGAACCCGGTAAAAAAGACTCGGTCGGTCTAACTGCCTCGCCTTGTATAATTTGCCGAAAAATATTATTAACTACACAATTTTGTCCAATTGCATAGCTGCATACCGAACCCCCCCCTCGCGATCACTTGAGCAAGTGCCCCCCTGGAGGCGCGACGCCACCCAAAACTACTAAGAGATCTAAGGATGTCTACCGGTCAGGAGGTGACGAGTGCGGTTGGAATAATTCTAGGCTTCGAAATCACGCAAAACTTAGTTACGACTCATGTCGGTTTGATCTGTCAGAGAAAGAGACAGTAACATCTGGCTCGAAGAGCACAACCGCAGTGCGCAAGTTTACTGTTAGTGTAAAATACGAGGCCGCGTTGGTCCAGCGCCCCTCCTCCTCCTTATTTGTGGTCTCATGTTGGTGTGTTTATATATGTGTGGCCTGTAATCCCTTAAGTAGAGAGTAGTTTCAGGCTACTTGCGGTTTAGGAATAGAAATTTTTTTTTGTTTGTTTCGTCGCCGGTTGACCCCACCTCGTTCGTAATACGTATTATGGCGGTGGGGAGCGGAGCCGTACTAGGTCGCCATGGAGGAGCAAGACGCTCACATACCGGCAACGCTAAGCGTGAACGCGCGCGCTCGTTGAAAGCTTGAGAAGTGAAGTAGGTATTTGTAATATCTCGTTTATGTCGCTATAACTGTACTAAATCTAGCGTCAAACACAGCGATATAAACAAAAGTTTCGCTTGTGGCGTCACTCATAGCCTAGAATAATAGTCACCGTAGGAGATGTCGCTACAGGTGGGATGAATAACTAGGTGA